TGTAAGGATCGTGACACTTGGCGATCTGTTCTCTCTGGCTACCCCGTCAGGGATTGTACGTGAAGATAAGTAAGTGTCAAAGTCGAGATTATCATAAATTCTGACTGTAAACTGTCGAACTGAAAGTGTATTTTAACACTGATATCTTTTACTTTAAAACGTGGGTCACACTTTTCCTTTTTTTAGTTGTCACTTAAGCCTTAAGCTGAACAGATAAGTTAAACATGGCACTTGTGATATTATCTTGGCAGTCATCCAGAAAGTTTGTAAGAATATTATGTTTTTTATCCAAAGAGAACAATACTGTACATAAATATTTTGGTTTTATTACACAGTCATGTCATTAAGTAATATAAGAACATAACATAACATGCAACATAAGAAACATAATATTATCTTGTTAATATTGTTTTTCTTCTTGATTAATTTTGATCTACCTGTTTTTTCAATCCTGGTGGTAACTTCCAAACAATATTATTTTAATTTGTAAGTAAAATTGATGCTCATAATTTAATTAACCTTTAATAAACAGAGGTTGTACAATGTTATAAGAGATGGTTCTCTATAAAGTAATTAAAATAAATGAAAAAATATAATGAAAATTCCTTATCGGTTGACGTAGGAAATAAAAATTTCGTTGTTCAAACGTCAACATGCTTTCTTTTAATTAGTTTCATAATTAGGATCCTCTACCTGAAGAAGAAAATGTGAAATAAACTCCGCATTAAATCTCTATTTTGTCATTTTAGGCAAATGTTCTTTAAGGTAAATGACGAGGTAGAGAGATAGACACATGGGTAATCGAAGCATACTCGTATTTTTATAACAAAGTTACACAGTAAATGTGTTGCAATCCCGAGCAGACTATCCATTTGCGCAAGAGCAAGATTTAGAGCACAAGTTTATGCGCAGGCAAATATGCAATAAATAACATGTAGTGACGGTGAAAGAATACCCACTACTCTATTGGCCCGTGGGTGATAAAAGGTTATAGAGGGAAACAAATCAGGAGATAGGCAGCAGCACCTTACTAATAACACTTGCCAAGCGAGGCTAATATTTATTTATTTATTTAACTTTTTTGAACCTTATAAAATATATAAGTACAAAAGGCGGACATAATGCTTAAAGCATTCTCTGCCTGTCAACCTTGAGGAGTGGAAAAACATCGAAGGCGGTTATTATAATACATAACAGTAAAGAATAAGAAATATAATGAATTTAGAAATTATAGCATATAAACATAAAGGTAAAAAAAAACAAAAAAAAAACTACATATACCATACGTACACATATATATATATATATACAAACCACATACACACATATATATATACACAAATTCACCTATAAATACGTATATACACACAAATATACATATATACGTAAAAAACATATTATGATGAAATTAGCTATTAACACAGATTAACTAAGATGGTGACGCCAACTTAGGAGTTCTTTATGACTTTCAGAAAATGTTCTTTAACATACTTTTTAAATGTTACTTTGTTGGAGCGTTGTCTCAAAGTTTCAGGCAGTGCATTCCAAAGTCGCGCAGCTCGTACAGCAAACGAGGAAGAAGAGAAACCGGAACGGTGAAGTGGAATGGAGAGCGTAAGAGTCTCCAAAGAACGTAGAGGTCTATTATGCGTATCAGATAGAAATTGAAACTTACGTTTCAAATAGTCGGGACAACGATTGTCGAATAAAATAGAAAAAAGTGTGAGAAGTGTCCTGACTTGCCTCCGTTGGCGAATGGGAAGCCAATTTAGCTGAAATCTAAAGGAGGAAACATGGTCAAACTTGCGAAGACAGAAGATGAATCGGACACAGTTATTTACGAGACGATCTAGCTTGTCTAGAAGGTTCTCATTAAGATCAGTACAACACACATCAGCGTAATCAATAACGGGCAAAATAAGAGACTGCACCAGAGTTATCTTTACCTTGACCGGAAGGAAGTTTCTAAGGCGATTTAGGGCACCCAACTTAGCAGTAACTGAAGCACTTATTGTTTGAATGTGAGTGGACCAATTGAGAGTTGAGTCCATACAGAGGCCTAGGTTTTTCACAGTGCTGGAATAAGGGATGCATGATCCATCAAACATGACAGGAGCGACAGAACAAATATCAAGTTTAGATAACTGACGAGCACTTCCTATCAAAATTGCTTAATATGGCAAATACTATGATGCAATCTATGCAGAAGGTCGTAACGGTAACAGAAAATATGCTATGTCTATTCTCTAACTTCACATAGTTCTATAAGTGTAGTCGTGTGATGGGAAGGCAATTTGACAAAAACGGGGAGGGCAGGTGCAGGGCCAACGACTTTAGGTGTTTTCGGAGGCACGGGATTAACACACCGCCAATATGCTGAGGCCAGGTGGTACTGAGAATTTCTTGATAGAAAAACTAGTAACTGGTTTTGGCCTGACTTTTCGCTTTAAGGCCCTGTCCGCACTGCGATATTTCACCGCGCGATTTCTTTCTCGCAATTCTGTAACACATAGAATCTTGTAGGAGTAACCGCACTGGCGGCAAAAAAATCGCGCGGGAAATAAATCTGTGATTTGATGCAAATTGAACGCGAAGCGGTGCGATTTATTTCCGCGCGAATATTTTGTGCAGTATATAGTAGTTATGGCTATGGCCGCACTGCGAAATAAAATCCGCGCGTTTCGCTCAGTCGTGTACTGGCGCTATTGGCAGGATGTCGCGCGCTTCGTCTCCCGCCCGATCGGGAGCCGCAGAGGAGTTAGAAAATGACGACATTGATATTGAGCAATTAATCACGTTGATGCACAGGAGACCTCCCCTGTGGGACAAATTTAATCCAAAGTACCACGACGGAATATTGAATGCGAGATTGTGGGAGGAAATATATCAAGACATATATTTTAGTTGGGAACAATGCAGTGTTGTTGAAAAAAAACAAAAAGGTAAATATAAAGTATTTTTTTAAATTTAATGACGTTTACAAATTAAATATTTTTATTTATAACCTTTGATTATATAACTACATGTCTAGATTGAGCAATGCAAACAAACTTCGCGCAAAAACCGGCCCGAATTACGTGATATGTGTGAGTACCGCTCGTGTACTTATTACTATATAGTAGTCAAACTGTCAAGATGTGCGTGTTTAGGGATACTTGCTCCAAATTATTAACTTAACTTTTTCCCATTATTTAATAAGGTGTAGTTTAAACAAAATAGGTTAAATAAAGTAACTATTTCGTAGATTAGTGTTTTATTTAATTTAGTAAAAACAAAAAATATAAACATAATTACAAATATTTTTCTTTTAATTTTTTTAAACAAACAAAATCTTATAAGTACTACTGCATCTTTTTATGATTTACAAAGATAAATAAATAAATATTAAAATAAAATATTTTTATTCAATAACAAAATGTTTAAAAATTACAAAAAGATGTAATGATATTTATAATGTGTCTTCCATAGTTTCGCTGTTTCCCTAATATTAAACTGGCAACACAAGCTAATCAGACTAACCTAAACAGTAACGAATTAAAAAACTGTGTTTTCTTAAAATAAAGTAGGTAGTTAAATAATATAATTTACTTCTTTACTTCCCACGTAATTGCGATACAATTTGATGGCACAAACCGGCATAATTAATTATTTTTCGTGAGCTTATTATCCATAGGTGACTCAAATGACACTGGCGTAGGTGAGAAGCGAGTCACCAATAATTATAGTAGACTTTTTTCGAGCCGTTCGGTACGGTCAATGTGTCCATCTAGACATGTATATAGTCAAAGATTTTTTGTTGGTCTGTAGTTTTATATAGAATATATACCTATAATACGGGTAGACGTTCATATTTTATATTTTTTCATATTGCCATGGAATTGACCCTTTCGGTGAATCAAAATATTCTGCAAAATATTGTCTATTTTCAATTCTGGATATTCTAGATCTCACAGGAGTAGGGCGCAAACTTTGTAACTCGGTCCCATACTATTTGTCCTTAAACCGAATTCCATCATGTTTGCGTACGTAATTATGTAAAATGCAACATGCTTTAATTATTTGGTCACAAGTTGTTAGTTTTACATCTAAAGCCCGATGTAAAATTCTCCATTTATTAGTAAGTATGCCAAAAGTGCATTCTACAAATCTTCTTGCTAGTGTGAGTCTGTAATTAAAAACTCTTTGAGTTACAGATTGGTTTCTTCTGGGGTATGGTCGCATTATGTGTTCTGAGAGAGCGAACGCTTCATCTCCAACAAAAACATAAGGCATGTTTTCCCCATTTTCATCTTTTGGTAGGTAAGTTGGTGATGGAAGTATTAACTGACCACCTTCAAGCTTCTTTCCAAATGCAGAATTTTTAAAAACGGTAGAGTCACTACTGCTGCCGTAAGCACCTATGTCAACACTGATGAAATAATAATTTGCATCAGCCACCGCCATTAAAACTAAGGAATGATATTGTTTATAATTATAAAATTCAGAACCCGCGCCATTAGGCTTTTCGCACCTTATATGCTTTCCATCCACCGCTCCCAAGCAATGTGGAAAATGGGTTCTTTTATAGAAAAGTTCGGCAATATGGGACCAAGTTCTTTCATCTGGTTCTGGCATGTATAAAGATTAAAAACAAGACCATAGTCTTTCACACGTGTCTTCTATAATTTCACCAATTGTAGAGATACCAATTAGATATTCGTAATAAAGCGAATAGTAGCTATTTCCTGAAGCCAAGTACCTGCAATAATTACAAAAAAATGTGTAACACCAATAATATAAAATTCAAACAAATTATAGTTTATTATTTATCTACACAACAATTACCTTATTTTATTTTCTTTTACAGGAGCTGATGTACAAAAAAAATGGAAAAATCTTAAAGATACATACTTCAAAGAGGTGGCAGCTGATAAAAAGGTAGTTTCGGGTCAAGCCGCAAAGAAAAAAAAAGACCATACATACACATGGGAGCACTTTCATTTTTAGCCACTCAAAAATCAATGAGAGATACGACAAATAATATTAAAGACACAGAAAGCACTAACAGGAATGCCGAAGACCTTACAAATCAATCCGACGAAGATACTGACACAGAAGCTTCACGAAATAGAACACTTAAAACGAGCATGCGTAAAAAGACTAAAATTCAGAATAATAGCGATGATGAGTTATTGAAATTATTGCAGGATAAAACTTATGATGAGGATGTTTCATTTTGTGAAATGATCATACCAATGCTCAAGAATCTCTCAACAGACCAGAAACATTACGCTAAAATTGAAATTCTGAATGCACTTAACAGAGCAACTAAATATTCACCACAAAATTTTATACCGCCTAGAGTCAGATCCGCTATGTCTCAATATCAATCATCATCATCATCGTATTCATCTTACAACCCAAATACGCCATCACCCTGCCCAAATACTATCCGTCAATCTCCTTCTCCCCAAATTTACCAATACCCACCATCTTTTCCTCAATCTCCGCCTGATCCGTCTCCTCAAACACAATACACACCATCTCGTAATTCAACTGTCATTCCTCAATCTCCACCTGATCCGTCTCCTCAAACCCAATACACACCATCTCGTAATCCAACTGTCATTCCTCAAACTCCGCCTGATCCGTCTCCTCAAACCCAATACACACCATCTCGTAATTCAACTGTCATTCCTCAATCTCCGCCTGATCCGTCTCCTCAAACCCAATACACACCATCTCGTAATTCAACTGTCATTCCTCAATCTCCGCCTGATCCGTCTCCTCAAACCCAATACACACCATCTCGTAATTCAACTGTCATTCCTCAATGTCCGCCTGATCCGTCTCCTCAATCCCAATACTCGCTGTAAAATTTTCCAAATACTTCATTTAATCATTCTACATTCGTAGTAGAGGGGAGTGGTTTTGACATGAAAGATTATATTTTATTTAAATAAAAGTTACATTGCTTGTTACGGCCTACGGCTGCTCCCTTAAAGGATCAGATCCTCAGGGGCCCATGAGCTGAAGACTTCCCGAGCAGACGTAGGTCGAGCCTCAATGTGGCCACGTGGAATCTCTCGAATTACACTAAAATATATGGGGGAGCGTTCTATACTACGGCCAGTCAACCGGCAGAGGAATTAGGCGAAGCTTACTTACCTATATCCAAGGCGACTGGTCCCTCCGGTCCTCTGGTGGTTGTGTAGTGAAAGGGAAATAAGTGATGTGATGTGTATCTGGGTGTGACTGATGGTGATTGAACCTAGACCTTGGCCGTCGGTAGCAGCCCGAGCGTCGACACCGCTCCAACTTGAGGGGGCCCTCCGAGGCGTCCACAGTCACTTTCCTCTTTCCTCACGATGACAGTCAATTAACTCTATCGTACGATTTACTAACTTACAGAAGTCACTAACTATCGCTGGTTATAAGGTTAACACACAAAACGCACACGGAGTTTACAGTTTATTAAAGGTCACTACCGTTTCGCATTGCAACAGTTATTTCTAGAATATCAGAGGCCGCACTAGCTAATATTGTCGAATGCACAGATTCTGAGTCGGTCCCGGGAAGCTCTCCAGCAGGAATGCGCGTCACAAATCCTAGACCGTATATTTACGGGCCGCACCTAATTATTCCGAGTTCCCTAACAGAATGGACCGAGTGCTCACGTCAGCACCGATTTTTTTTTTATAGGATAAGGGTGACAAACGAGCACACAGTCCACCTGATGGTAAGTGGTTGCTGCGGCCCATAGACATCTACATCTATCCTCTGTTACAAATCAAAATGTAGATGCGTTGTCACCCGTGAGGACTAAGATGGAATGCCTCATTTCCAGTAAATAGGGCCTCCGGCTACCTGCACTCACCAAGCGAAACGCAGAGGTAAACCTCTACTTCACGCTGGTTTTCAAATTATAATATATATATATATAATATAGATTAAAGACAACTGACTGCTGAGCCTTTTCACTCGCGACCCGTGCGCCACTCCACGCTCGGAAGAACTTCAAACTAGTATCGCCGAGCTGCGCGCCCTCTAACGTTAATCTCGAAATCAGCCTTCGGGCGTAAACAAACCCCCGTCCCGGAGATAAGGATTTAGGTCCGCGAGCAAACCGGTCAGCGGGACAGGGTCGCGACGGCAAGTTGCAAGACCGAATCTATAACCAAACTAGGCCACCTTAGGCAACCCATCAGATCTTGCAACCCTAACCAACGCCTCAAAAAATAGCCCTAATGTGGCAAGCCGGAGGGTCAGCCTCCACTGGATGCCCCTCCTGGGCATCGCAGCAATTTAATAAGTCCTGTACTGGACAGAAGTCCGACGACCTCTTTCAAACACCTATCTGTGCCCCTATGATTAGTTCCGCAATCCTCCCGGATCAGCTCTGCAAACAGCGACGCGACACGAAGCGGCCCCCAGCGGCCTCCTAAGCTTCAGTGCAGAGAGCACCCACAAATTCCACATGAACGTCGTCTGTGGAGAGCCGAACGAAACGCACAGATAGTCCCTAGTATGAATTTTCAACAAGTAGGCCTAGCCAAGCAACCCACCATATTATCATTTACTAAAATAGTGCGGCAGCTAATTTCAATCTGATAATCTCCAAAACTAGCTAGCCTGTTAGGCAAGTAGTCCTATGCTCATATTTCAACTAATTTTTCAAAAGCATCAATGTTCAACTACAGAATTAATTCAACCAAATTAATCACCGATGTGCATAGGTCAACTTGCAAATTAAAGAAAACAATAACGTAAGGGACAGCCCTACTTCTTCGCAAAGCAAAATGATTAAATACTATCTATGTACCTATATGTTACATAATTTTTCAAATAGCGCGCCATTCAATTTCCTTTCAGCAAACAGACGCAATAATCAAATACAGTGATTAAATATATGTACAAAACACATGCAGTAACATTTAAAGGAGTAGATTAAATTCAATTCTTTTAATTTAAACCGCTACAAATAGGAAAATTTTGCGGAAAGCCCAAAGCAATTTTTAATTTTTATTCAAGTATTTTTTTGACTAAGTGCTCGACCAAACCAAATCTAATACCCCTTGACAGCGTGATTCAACGCTCCAAAGGGGCCCTAATCTTCCCACCACCAAGGGGAGGCCACATGGCGTGAACCCGGGATCAATCGAGGACAACCGCTAACAGTCGCCACTCGGGTTGTACGCCTTCACTGAGGCCGTCGGCAACAGAACATTTTGACAAGTGGACTGTTAACGGCTTAAGGCTCAGTGGAGGTGGCCGTGGTGGGAGCTAAGGCGGCAGCTAGCCAGGGCCGCCTCCATCAAATGGGGAACAGTGGTACACCAGTCGCGGCCACTCAGCTAACGGGAGTGAGAAGGGTCCAGCGGACCGATGAGTGGCTGTGAAGTTCCTCTCCACACGCTTAGGGGGAATGATGACACACCCACCCCTGGGGGAATTACCCCCCGACTGGTCGGGGGGGGACCCCTTTCAAACTTAGGGGCCTGATGGCTGGCCGGCGGGCGCCGAGAGTCGCCCGGCAGAGGGCGTGGCTGAGCGCCCCCGCCCGTGGGGGTCGAGGGCCTGGCAGAGCCCCGAGAGGAGACGCCGTTCGCACTCAGGCACAAAACGGCAGGCATGATGATTGCTCTGGCAATGCAGACAGGGCCGCCAATGCGGACAGTCTCGGATGGAATGGAGGTGTCCTCCCAAACATGAGCAGCACCAGCGGCGCTCCTTGGCGATAGTTTGCCTCGCTGGAACCGGCTTACCTAATAATTTCGGGCACGACGTTACCCGATGATCAGATGCTCGACAATAGGAGCAGGGGGGGGTTGACGACGACTTGCCTGGAGGATTCAGCCTCTCACTGGGCACGGCTCGTAAGTCGTCAACGGTGCCCGCCGCGCTCTCTATCTGCCGGCACTGCTCCTCCAAAAACCGCAGCAGGTCACAGAAGGGCGGAACATAGGAGGCCTCGTCCCCGCCGTACCTCTCCTCAAAATGGATTCGAAGGTCGAGAGGTAGACGGGACAGCACGATGCGGAGCAACAAAAAAGCCCATTCGCCCACTGGTAAACCCAGCCGCCTCAACGTATTACAGGCCACCAAGACTTGATCCAACAGGTCCGGACGCAGTCTGGCCCGGTCACTAAGCAGCGGGAGGCTTAGAAGCTGCTTAACATGTCCGTCCGCAATTCGCCGGACGTTGGTGTATCTTCTGGCTAGGAGGTCCCGAGCAGTCTGGTAGGCGTCGTCCGACAATCTCAAGTGGCCGACGACGCCCAGGGCCTCCCCCTCCAGTGAGGCCAGGAGGTACACCATCTTTTGGCTCGGGGTCAAGTCACTCCGGGCGTCCACTAGGCTGTCGAAAAGACCAACGAAGGTCAGCCATTCGGAAAGGACCCCGGAGAACTTTGGCAGGTCCAGAGTTGGGAGTCGTCCCAACAGCTCCGGCTGAAGCTGCTTCAGAGAGGACTCGGACAAGTCACTCATCCGAGCTTCACGCGCCTCCTCGGCATACCTGCCTTCAGCCTCGATCAACTCGTCCGTGAGCCACAAGAACTGCTCATAGTCCGCGAAGCAGGACTCCCTTCTCCACATCCGAATCCTTGAGCTCAGCGTAAGCCTCCTCCACTGCGGCCCTTCGAGCATCCACCTGCTCAAACCGCTTCATCAAGTTATGGACCCTATCCGGTCGACCTATCAAAGCATGGGCGCTTGTGGCCCAGCGTAGCTCAGTCCGCAAACAACGGATCAGTAGCTTGGGCGATGTCATCACTATTAAATACAAATTACGACGCGGCTCGAGCACAAATTACAAAGATAACAAACAAAAAATACAGCAAAAATTAACAGTTAATAAATGCAGTTCCTATCAAATCGCGTTGAATAGAAATTACACAAATACGAATTACTACGTATCAACCAAATACAAGCCAGCATAAAAGAAAAGGCACAAATCAAATTAACAAATAACAAATACTAGTGCGATCAAATCAAGTTAGATTCAAATTGCGCAAATACAATTACTACTCTTTAGTTCAAATACAACTTACAGTATAAACGAAGATACACATCACGGTCGATCAACAAAAAATGCCTAGCTCGGAAATCGACCCTTCGATAAGTAATCCACTACAACTATCCGACAACGATAATTAACCGATTACGTAAAAATAACCATCTACCTACATGACGTATATCTCTAGAAAACTCCCGCTTGCGCAACCTAGGGCGCGGCTTTTCAAATCTACTCACTAACCAAAAAAAGGCAAGCAACAAAGAACAAAGGGAAATAATTCTATTATTACGTACAAAAAAAATATTTTTACGTATTACGGACGGGCGTGATTGTAGATACAAACTAAACCAATCAAACCAACGCTCCCTGCCACCAAAATTGTTTAATGTTTATCAAACACTATGGTCGGAATCGACCGGGAATCGAACACGGAACCGCGCTCTGCTACCAGTTTGTTACGGCCTACGGCTGCTCCCTTAAAGGATCAGATCCTCAGGGGCCCATGAGCTGAAGACTTCCCGAGCAGACGTAGGTCGAGCCTCAATGTGGCCACGTGGAATCTCTCGAATTACACTAAAATATATGGGGGAGCGTTCTATACTACGGCCAGTCAACCGGCAGAGGAATTAGGTGAAGCTTACTTACCTATATCCAAGGCGACTGGTCCCTCCGGAGTCGGTCAGGTCACATGTGGTTGTGTAGTGAAAGGGAAATAAGTGATGTGATGTGTATCTGGGTGTGACTGATGGTGATTGAACCTAGACCTTGGCCGTCGGTAGCAGCCCGAGCGTCGACACCGCTCCAACTTGAGGGGGCCCTCCGAGGCGTCCACAGTCACTTTCCTCTTTCTTCACGATG